ATGTCTCATCAGTGCGTACTCAAGTAAACCAGATATCAAATATTCCAGAAATATGTACGACAAGGACAAATAGCAACTCAGTTCAGCAATTAACTGAAAACAAATGCAACCTCTCAAGGCAACAGTCACTCAGCTCATCTCAACAGCTCAATCACTCGACTCTCAGCCCTCAATAATCATACTCAATATGTACATGCGCTCACTGAGAGTGTGCAGACTCCGGAGGGGCTCCTTCAGCCCAAGCACTATAAACTGCATGGACAAATCACGTGTTGCACGGACAACTCACATGCTGTAATCATATCTGAATCAGCACGGACAACTCACGTACTATAATATAATATTTGGATCCGCACGGATAACTCACGTGTTGCACAGACAACTCACATGCTATAATATAATATCTGGATCCGCACGGACAACTCCCGTGCTATAGTATCGATAACCTCACACTTAGGCCCTCGGCCTCACTCAGTCATCAATCTCTCCAGTCTCTCGGGCTCTCAAAAATCATATAAACAGCCCAAATAGAAGTAATATCATATATCAACAATGAAGAGTAAGAGACAGAGGCATAATAAGCAAGAAAAGCTATGACTGAGTACAAATCAACAATTTAGCAGCTAATTCAGCAAGTACACGACTTCCTAGGTATGAACAATGATAACATAAGGCCTAAACATGATTTCTAACATGAAGTACAATCAATTTCCATGAAAACAGAGGAAACATATATTAAACAGTAGGTCAATTGATTCCACAGTCTCACGGGATGGACCAAGTCACAATCCCTACGGTGCACGCCCACAAGCCCACACGCCCGTCACCTAGCATGTGCGTCACCTCCAAAATAGTCATACGACACAATGTTCGGGGTTTCATACCCTCAGGACCAGATTTATAACCGTTACTTACCTCAATTCGAGCAAAATCCTACTCCGCAATGCCTTTTCCTCTCAAATCGACCTCCAAATGCCTCGAATCTAGCCACAATAATTCGATTCAATCAATAAAAATTGTAGGAATTAATTCCATATTAAATTCTTCATTTTCCACTAAAAATCCGAAATTGCACTAAAAATTCGCCCGTGGGGCCTACGTCTCGGAACCCGACAAAAATCATGGAATATGAACCCCTATCCAACCACAAGTCCAACAATACAAATTTTACCAAAATACAACAACAATTCGACCTCCAAATCATCAAATCTAATTTACAAATCCCTAGTCCCAAATTCCTGATTTACACCTCAAAAAGACGTAATCTAGCCGGGATATTCAATGATAATTCAATAACATTGACTAAAAATGATAAAAAGGGACTTACCTCAAGAATTCCCGTGATTTCTCGCTCAAAATTGCCCAAAATCCGAGTTTGAAACTCAAAAATATGAGAAAAAATGGACTGCTCGCCCTTTAACTGCCCAGAATTTTTGGGGGCACTGTTCACGCATGCGGTACTGTTCACCCGATGCCCTCGGGACCTCAACAAAATACATCAACCTGTCCTAAAACATAATACGAACTTAGTCAAAACCTCAAATCATATCAAATAATGCTAAAACCGTGAATTACACCCAATTCAAGCCTAATGAAACCAAGAACGTCCAACTTCTATATTCGATGCAAAAACTTACCAAATTAAGTCCGATTGACTTCAAATTTTGCACACAAGTCATAAAGGACATAAAGAAGCTATGAAAATTTTGTGAACATGATTCTAACCCCGATATCAAAAAGTCAACCCCACGGTCAAACTTCCACACTTAAATTTCTTATTTTCGCCATTTCAAACCTATTTTAGCTACGGACCTCGAAATAAATATCCGAACACATTCCTAAGCCCAAAATTATCATACGGAACTATTGGAATTATCAAAAATCCATTCCGGGGTCATTTACACATATTTCACCTTCCGGTCGATTTATTCAACTTAAGCTTTCTTCTTGAAGACTAAGTGTCTCAATTCATTTCAAAACCTCATAGGACCCAAACCAATTGCTCCAGTGAGTCATATAACAACTGTAAAGCATGAATTTAGCAGTAAATGGGGGAAAATGGACTGTAATATTCAAAACGATCGGCCGGGTCGTTACAGGTCGTTTGGGCATTCCATCGAACAGGTTGTGTGTACCAATTTGTGCTCATTTTTTTCCCATCAAGTTGAGGATACATATCACCCAAAAATCTATTAACAATTCGCTCTCACACTAAACCAACCATACCCAGCAAGTAAGACATGTAAAGCACTCAAGATTTTCCATAAAACCTTTTTTTACTCAAGCCCTAAAATCTCAAGGGTTTCTGCCATTGTATCTCAAGAGTTCATACTAAGCAGAGGCATAGAATATAGGAGAGAAATCCACTTACCTGAGAGTGATGAGTGACACTTTTGTAATGGAATCGAAGAATGGAGAATTTGAGATGGTTTCCAGGAGTTAGGAGTATGAGAGTCGTTTCTTTGTTTGGGGGCAAAGTAGGTGTCCCAATTTTTTTTTATTCCCAATGTTTAATTGTTCAGAACTTACCTGTTACGTGATCACAAGAGTGTCACGACCCAAAAATCCCTCCGAAGGAGTCGTGATGACACCTAGTCTCTAAACTAAGTAAGCCTAATATTAACTAAAATAACATTGATATTTGTCATCTTTAAATTCAATAACTCTTAAAAATTTACAATTTCCAAAGCTGATGGTACAAGTCACGAGCATTTCTAAGAGTAGTTATACAAAATAAATACATCACTACTCCAAAACATAAGGAACAAATGGAAATAAGTATAAATGAAGGTGACTCCGAGCCCCGCAAACACTGTAGCAGGTTTACCTTGAGTCTCCATAGCAACGATCTGCAAAGCCACTAACGATCAATTATATGGATCTGTACAAAAATGTGCAGAAGAGTAGTATGAGCATACCACAGCAGTGCCCAGTAAGTATCAAGACTAACCACGGTGGAGTAGTGACGAGGTACAGTCAAGACACTCACTGGTTTAACAACCTGTGCAATATAGCATACAAAAATAATAGGGAGCAAATAATAATGATGGCAACAATAATCAACCCATGATGTAAACAGCAGGGCAGCAAAAACACCATAAATATTGCTCAACGAATAATGTATACAAGTGCAATCAATTAATCATCCTTCAAATATAAATATCCTTCAAATAAGTATCTTTCGAATATAATTCTTTCGAGTAAAGGTCACCTTGTGATGCCTCATTTCATAATCATAAATAATATATCTCTCAGCCCACTTTCATATATTCACGGCATCTCGTGCCCATATTTTTATCATAGCTGCACGGCCAACTCACATGCAATGTTCCTCAGCACCTTCTGCCCACATATTTCTGTCTCACATTGTGCAACAACGTTCTCAGAATACTCAGTTCATAAGGTCCATAACCCAATACAATTAAGAATATTCACGGAGCCTCATTTACTTAACATGAAGTAGAGTACAACTTCTAAACCCATTTGGAAGATAAAGTTATTTTTTAATCATTTGAATAAAGTACCATGTTTCAATTAGAATACAACATCGAATAAATTATTACTTTTACCATGGGATTTGATAAATTAACTTAGTAAAAAATTTCTCTTAAGTAAAGTACAACCTCAATGGTTTAAGGAGATTTGATTGAGAAACTAATTGAGTTAAAAATGTAACAATTATTGAAATTTGAAGTATTGAATATATGTATAAATAATACGGCGAGGTATTGTAAACACTATCGATTTCAACACAAAGGATCACAGCAGTAAAGGAATCTAAACAATTAATATACTTGAATTGGTAACAGTAATTACAATGGAGACAAAATAATCACAGAAGGAGTACAACTCCATGTAGAGATAGCAACCGGGGATCTCCCAGGATACCGTCCTGTAGTCCCAAATGTAAATACTTGGGGATCTCTCAGTATCCTCCGTATATGAGCTAGGGATCTCTTGGTATCCTGAGGATCTCTTTGTATCCTCAATATAAATGCTAGGGATCTCTTGGTATATTGAGGATCTCTTGGTATCCTCAATATAAATGCTAGGGATCTCTAGGTATCCCGAGGATCTCTTGGTATCCTCAATATAAATGCTAGGGATCTCTTGGTATCCCGAGGATCTCTTAGTATACTGAATATAAGTGCAGGGGGATCTCCCAAGATATCGTGTCGTAGTCCCAAAGTAAACTTGCAGGGGGATCTCCCAGGATATCTTCCCGTAGTTCCAAAGTAAATACGCAGCAGCAACACGAGGAATACTCAAAAATAATCCAACAATCCAATCACAAGGAATTCCACCACCAAGATTATGAACACACGACAACAAGAGAATCACAGAAAAACCAAGAAATATAATAACCTTAACAAAACAACAAGACACAACAGGTACGTGATTCCTACACCGGCAACCACAACAATTTGGACTTACATCATATATACACAGAGTCATAGAGGAATTTACAATTTAGAGATAACAAAATGATAAGAAGAACAATCGCTTCAATTAAGGCAATTAAGGGTCAAGTAACACGTACGAATTAGAGGAAAGCTAATAACATCATATGGAACATATGGAGGCAATTTAAGCAATTAGAAAACCCAACCATAACGGGATACTTTCCACTTAATGAGCATAAGGACCTAAGAACCCTAGAGGCAAATTTCCCACAAATAAGACCGAGCACACACTCGTCACCTCGTATGCATGGACTACAATTAGCATAGAAGACTCAAATTCCATGAGGTAGTCCACTACAACAAAATATATTTTTAGCGGCAATTATTTAGTGGCAATAAGATAATCGCCGGTAATTAATTCCTTATGTCAAACTGTTAGTGGCTAATATAAATTAGACGGAAAAAGTTACATATTTATTGACAATTAAATGAAATGGCCAGTAAAATAACAAACTTTATCTTTTTAATCTCCAAAAGAAAACCCTATATTTTTCATTTCCCTCTCTATTACTCCTCCCACCTTTGGCTTTTCTTCTATAGTGTTTCTCTTATTTTTTTTCCATTTATATCATCTAAGAGTTTTTATGCTTTCAATGAATATTGAAGATAATAGCAGCAATCCAGCAACCAAAAACGAAGAAAAAGCATGAACACATATATTACACCATTTTCAAAGCCCGATTAACTAGTTATTGATCGAAAACCTCTGCCTTTTTACTATCGCCGGCATCTCCATCACTGTCAGTTACCTATTTGATACTTTTGCATAATTTTTTACTTGTATTTGTCATTTTCTATCTACATCCTTATATAGATAGAATGTTCTACGTATTCCATTTTGATAGGAATTAAGTGTTCTCAATTTTTTTGTTTTTAGCTTTGCGTTTGTTGGATTTTGATTTTGTAATAATTGAAACTGGATTTATTCTACTTTATTTGCATTTTACTATATTGCTTGTGATGGAATTTGATTCTGAATTATTTGAGTATTCTATATTACTTTAGGTGTTGCTTCTAGAGGACAAATTCAAGAAACCTATTCAGTGTTCGATAAAATGTTACAAAGAAGTATGTTTGCTTTAATAACAATGACTAATGTGTATGATGCTTTACTAGTATTTCTATGAATCTTTGAAAATCAAGACATCATTTTTTAGACATTCATATGTTTTGAATTTTTAATTTATGTGACCCTCGGTTAGATCAATATCAATTGAAAAGTTTTAAACATAAGAGCTCCAAGAGAGGATAAATAAAGCGTAAACAGATGCAATAATAGACTAAATGAGGAGAAATACATTTGCCTGTGTCAGTTGTTTCTTTTACCAGATTCTATACATAAGTCTATGCAACAATAGAGTAAATGAGATCACTCAACGAACTGCTGCTTACTAAAGAGAGTAAAAACTTTTCTAAACCTAGGAAATCATATCTCCAATTATATTTTGTTTAACATAGTAATCAATTGACAGTTTAAGTTATTGATTTTAATTCATTATTTGTGGGCGTAGGGTTGAATTTTAAAGATATAATGTGAAAGTCCAGGCAGAGATTAGTTATATATTGTGGGTGAGGATTTGAATGGAAGCTCCTTCTAGTTAACATTATCTTGTTAACTTGATCCCAAATGGGGAATGTTCCTAGTCAATGAACATTCTTCCTTATTGTTAATTTTTTAGGGAGAGGGAGACGCAAAAAAAATTAGAACTTTCTGTGGATTAGCACAAATTGATAACTCTTTATTTATTCTATGTTCTTGCATGCCATATATAAATAATTGTTTGAATATCTTTCCTTATAAATAAGTAATTATATGATAGGCCATTTTTATTATCAATATTTTGTTTGTGCTAGGTTATTTGCAGTTGTGGATGGTATATTCTGCTTGTTTAACGCCACATTGAGAATGTATAATATCTAAAGTAACAATATGGTTAAAAAATATAATGAATAAAGTAATCGTTGTTGTAGAGGCATATATAACTTTGATGGATAAAGGTCCTTATCATGCAGATCAAGTTAGTAGAGATTTCCATGGAAAGTTTACTTTCATTCTCTATGGAAGCTCTTCAACAACTATCTTTTTAACTACTATGGGTGTTTTTTTAATATATCTTGATCTTGATATCAAATTGTCCATAATTGAAATTGGACATTCTTCTAGGTATGCTTCTTTTTTTAAAAATAATGTGAAATTGGCCGAGCTTGCAATTTAACTATTATTATGTTGTTTAACCTCTTATAAGAGAAAAAAACTGGAGCTATACAAGAAAATTGTTAAAATGGTTTAAGATGGTAAGACTGATGGTATCTAGGTTGCTATATTATTTTACTAATCAAGTTAATAGAGATAAGTTGACTTTTCTAAATCAGAAGTTTCTTTTATAGAACCATTCTAGACACATTAAGGTGAATCTTGATGTGCTAGTAAAATCACTGGATGAATGTGGCAAAACTTATGAGTTGTGACCTGAATTAACTACACTGCTTGAACTTTTATTTGATAACTGCACACCTTTTTGTTCTTTTTGTGATGATATAATCTTTCATCGAGTTTTTCATATGTTTCTATCTTTTTATTATAAAATCAGTAAAATCTAATAAAAAGACTATGTGAAAAATATAATCATTTTTTTGTTAGTTCTTTGTGCTGAATTGGCACTAAGTTATAGATTCTGAGAAGAATCTACTAATAAAAATTATTTCCGAGAAGAAATTGTGGTTCTAGCAAAGAATTTTTTCTCTTAAAAATGCCAGTTGAATTTCTTTGAAGATGATCGGTTTCCAACAGTTTTGATGATTACCTTGTATATTTTAAAAACCAAATCAAAATTTTCTTGTCTGAACATGTGTTCTTACTTACTTAATAGGAACTAGCATCGATACATGTGACCCTAAATGAACAAAGAGCTAGGAGTGAGAACTTGAAAAGAATCAAGGTTCATTTTGCCTTCATAGTCTATATTTCAACTATAGATAAGTAATCCCTTTTCATGAGCAGATGCACTAAATTTCTGCAACTTTTATTGTGCAGATTGATTTGGATCTACAATCTATAAATGACATGGCTACAGAATCAGTGTCCTACCAATGGAACTTGCTGGTTAATCAAGAATCGTCCATGTTGGTTTAAACTTGTCTGGACACACCATATGACCTGGTATTATTTGCATTATTTGCACATACATTTTGCTCGCCTATTAATCCATCTAGTTGTTTTTGCTAATAAATGTTTGGTGAGAGAGTTGGCTAAAAAAGAATATGACAGACTGACAATGATAGACTCTTCAATATATTTTTTCACATTATATTTTATCTTTTGACACATTTTTTTTATAATTTCAGGTCACACTTTGATGTTCAATAATTTAGCGGGTGGAAGATTTTAATATGATGAAAAGTTGCGGAAATTATTTGAAGATTATCATTCGTCAGGATTAGTTATATAATAGCATTAGCTATTCAATTCGAACAATATAAGTTTATTTTTAAGTTAGTATGACATTGGTTTTTTTTATTAGTACATCCTTTTGTTTGTTAAGATTTAGTAAGATATATCATATTTTTGAATTAGGATTAACAAATTTGGTTGTTTGGAACATATTCTGGATGAATGTAGTAACTATTATTAATGATGCCTAAATTATTTTAGTTACAGTTTGTGAATTTTAGCACTAAAAACAATTATTGTTAAAGATATTGACTTTTAGTAACAATTTAATTGAATATATCAGTCATTGAAATGGATGCTAAAAGGGCAAACTAAGACATTTTCAGAAGGGATACTATTGCAATTCTAATTGCCACAAAATAATTGCCATTAAAGATACAACTTTTAGTGGCAATTATTTTAAATTTAGTGACTATATAAAAAGAAGCTAAATGAGCATAGTTAGCCATTTTTAGATTGGGTTTAGCAGCCATCATAATTGCCGCAAACAATTGCCGTTAAAGTTTCTTGTTTTTAGCGGCAATAGATCATATATTTTACCAGCTTTTGTCATAAAGGCCGCTAAAGGCTTTGCCGACCCCAACATCAGTGGCTAAACGCCAATGGCTGGTAAAAGATATAGCAGCTATTATTATTGCCGCTAAAGCCGTTTTGTATTGCCGCTAAACACCCTTTTTGTTGTAAAGGTCCCCCACACAAGGTTAGGCAAGATACTTACCTTTTTTGAAGTTAGGCCGATATTCCAAAATAGTCTTCTTGCTTGAATTGACCTTCAAACGGCTCAAATCTAGCCAAATTAATTGTAGAACTTCATTAAAATACATTGGAAATAATTTCAGATAATAAAATGTCGACTTGAAATTCGCATTAAAAAGTCAACCAAAAGTCAACTCCCCAGGCCCGCACCTCGGAACCCGACAAAATTTATAAAAACCGAATATCCATTCCGATACGAGTTCACCCATACAAAAATTATCCAATTCCGACACCATTTGGTTCTTCAAATCATCATTTTAATTTTTTAAAAGATTTCACAATTTTTCCCAAATTCCATCTCAAATCACGAGTTCGAATCACCTACCCCAATGAATTTTTTGAAAAATATATTCATGTATTCTAGCCAAATCCGAGTTCGAATCACTTACCCCGATGAATTTCTTGAAAAACCTTCGAAAAATCACCTCAAACCGAGCTCCCTAGGTCAAAATATGAAATAAAACCCCAAACCTCGTATTTATAATGTACCTTTCGGATTCGCTCACTGCTGACCGCACAAAACCAGTGCTGACCGCGGTGGAGTACCGCGGACCGCACAAAAACCAGTGCTGTCAGCGGTGGATTTGACTGCAGTGACATGCTTTAGTATTTTGGCCATAACTTTCGTTACAGATGTCCAAATGCTTATTCTAATATTTTTGTGAAAATAAGATTCAAAGATCTACAACTTATGTGTTTTAATCATCTCCAAATTCCTTGTAGATCAAAAGATATGAGTTTCCGAAATCGGACCAGCGATCCTGTGGATCATTTTGGTGTGCGGCCGCACACCATTTTGTGCGGTCCGCACTCCCCTCTATGGTATGCATATTTTTGGTGCGGTCCGCACTCCCAAAAGTGCCAGACCTATCTCAGAGTTTTAAAATGCCCGGACTCGCTCGAAATTCACCACGAAACATCCACGAGGCCCCCGGGACCTCAATCAAATGTACCAACACATTCCATAACATCATCAAAATTTAGTCGAGCCTTCGAATTACTCCAAACAAAACCAAAACACCAAATCCACCTCGGGTTAAAGCCTAAGGACTTAGGAACTTTCAAATTCCAGAAACAATGCCAAAATCTATCAAATCAAGTCCGATTGACCCCAAATTTTGCACACAAGTCATAAATGACATAATGGAACTATTCCAACTTCTTGAGTCGAATTTTGATCTCGATATCAAAAAGTCAACCCCTCGGTTAAACTTCCAAACTGCGACTTCTCGTTTTCGCCATTTCAAGCCTAATTAAACTACAAACTTCCAAATAATTTTCCAGGCACGCTCTTAAATCCAAAATCACCATACAGAGCTATTGGAATCATCAAAAATCCATTTCAGATTCGTTTACTCATATTTCACCTTTTGGTCAATTTAATTCAACTTAAGCTCTCTTCTTGGAGACTATGTGTCCCAATTCCTTTCAAAAACCTTTCTGAACCCGAACCAATTCCCTCGCAAGTTACATAAGAACCATGAAGCATGAATTTAGCAGTATATGGGGAGACGAGGTTGTACTTATTCAAAACGACCGGTTGAGTCGTTACATTCTCCACCTCTTAAACAAACGTTCGTCCTCGAACGTACAAAGATTATTCTGAGGTTTCAAACTTGATGTTTCTACTTTTACACATATACTCGTGGTTGATCCCATATTATCGCATTCGAAATAAGTCCGACAACACCATTTCAATTGAGATTATTTCCTTTATCCATATTTGTAAACTTTGAGACCAAATTTCTTACACTCCAGTCATTTCCATAAAGGTCCGATCTTCACATCAACACATGATATTAATCTTGATTGGCTATAGCAACTCGTGCCTTTGCATCCCTCAAATTCGGAGTGTTACATTATCCCCCACTTAGGGTCATTCGTCCTCAAATAATAAGTAGAGTCCGTCCTCAAACACATAATGTAACTTATCTCTTTCTTTGCACAACTCAATGTCCTAAATTTTAATAACTCCCAAATTTTTCAGAAATTTCGGCAGAGTATCCCCTGTAATTAGGCCTATCCACCTGTCAGAGTAACACCAAGAAAACTCCTAACAACACATCCACAGCTCAACAGTGCTCCACGATGTATATATCAATAACACTAATCTCTGCATTACAAGTACGATATTATCATAATGATATCTGGTCATGAAACATATCATATGCATGACCTTAACCACATCTTTGGTTTTAATAGTTGTACATAATCGATTAAAAAATCGCCAATTAATCTCATGCCAACAAAATCTTGTTTCAAACCTCCATTTACTAACAACGAGGCATGAAGACCTTATAATAACTTACCCAAATTAATGAGTCATATTTAACGCCACCTGGGCACTCATCTTGTAGGCTAAAACTCAATAATTACAATACAATTTGGCAAATTATGCACAGAGATATTCATACAAGAATTTTCAAATAAGCCTCATAGGGATGACTTCCTATAAATTTTTAATTTTACAAGGGAGAATTTAAACACATAAAATTTTCACCACAAGGACCTCGTCCTTATATAACATCCACTGCAGCTTGTTGCCGGTTTAATTATTTCATATCATATAAAAATGTGAGGATCTCTTTCTCAACTCTAAATCACAAGTATTTTGCACATTGTGCCAACTAAAAATTTTCCATTTCCTTTCTTCTTTCTTTCAAATAATTTCCGTTAAAAAAAATTAGAACATACAATGATCCCTCATACCGGTAGGGCATATAATTTACAACTGAAATCGATTATTTAGAAATTACATCCAACTCATCGAATTGATTAACAAAAGTCACTTTTAGCCTGACAACTATTTTTAGTGACCAACACATAATGATAGACATAACTATCTCCATATAATCTCCCAACAGAAGTATTCACATAAGTAAGTTTAAGATTACGAAGCTTACTCATGATTGGAGCATATTAGGAGGACTTGCCTCGATACTCAGAACCGAATCAAGTTAAGGAAATTGTTACTTTATAATAACTCAAGATTGTACTTGTAATGACACCATCTGGTGTAGCGACCTCAGCTATACCATAGCAAATATATCAATGGGTCGGGCCTCTACCTCTTAGGCGCTATCTACCAGTTTGTCATCCATCCCTAACTGGTAGTGTAAGTAGAGTAGTAATTGTAATGGGGTATGTGGCATGTGTACTCTGATGGAATAGATTTCTCCCAAGTATAAGACAATTTCTCATGATGTTCCTAGTATCACCATATTCATAACAACGAATCTGCGGTCAAACTGCTCATACTGAATCTGTGTCGGATAACTAGCATATCCAATATAGAAAATCCCATACCAGTGGTGCATTTAAAGATTACTGCCCACGCGAGTGCCCTGATTAACTGGAGCACTATGAGTATTCTGAAATTGTTTCCATGACCCTGCCGATACAGAAATGTAGAATTATTAAGGAGGCGGGAATACCAAAAGTCCCATCATCATCCCATTCAAATCTCAGCTCTTAATCATATACAAGTTTCGACAAACCTTTTAATACCACATATATACAGCTCAAGCCAAAATTAATATAACACATGACCCCGCAATCTGATCGTTGATAGTGGACTCCCCTCACTTGGTGCGAAACCATAGGACACATTTCTGACAATCCACAATACCAACCTTCACCACTCGTATGACACCAGTCATAAGACACCTCAAGCCATTTACTTGGCACTTTTCATCCTCATGACAGTTAAACTCACTTCCTCCAGTGTCTCGGTTGCTAGTTGTACCCTTCGCTAAATAGAAATCTCATATAAACCACTTAGCATCTAATACAACCAACTATTTTTAGATCTACATCCACCTATGATGATTAGGAAACCAATTGAAGCTTCTTAAGATTGTACTTATCAACCAAATGTCAAAATCTGATGCACCCCCATGTGCACAATTGAAAGATCTCTTTGCACTTCCATATCCTCGATTATGAATGACATGTGGTAACAATGGTTGAGCAACCCTAGCTCTCTTATAACCCTTTTACGGTATCACAAACCATTAGCGTAGTGCGTAATTCCATACATGAGTGGATGCAAAAGAACATAAGATATATGCTTCAAGTTGAATAAATGACGCACGATAATGAATGAATGAAGTGGAAATTTTTTTTCCTACTAGTTCCGTAGCCTCTCGAAGATAAGTACAAACGTCTTCGTACCGATCCGCAAGACTCTACTAAACTCGCTTATGACTTGCAACACCTATGAACCTATAGCTCTGATA